AAAAAAAAAAAAAAAAAGAGGTTGCCAGAACTCCCCTGGGAAGGAGGAGGCAAAACTGCCCAGCTGAGAGAAACACTGGGCCAAGATGTTACAAATAGAAGTATTTATTTTTAAATAGTTTAGACATCCATAGTGGTATAATGAATATTCACGGACCAGCCACTCCATATAAAAAGCAAAACACCCTCATCCATCCCTGGGACCCCCGACTCGGGCCTGTGTGCAGGACTGCACACTGATCTCGGAGGTGTGGACGGCCCTGCACACAGGTGCAGTGATGGGCGGGGAGGTCAGCGTGACCACAGGGCCACATGGAAGGTCAGGAACAGCCAGGACAAGAGCAGAACTGCAGCAAGGTGTCCCTTAGCCACGCCCCCTACCTTCTCTGACTGCCAGTCCTGATATGGGAGGACATACTCACAGGCCCAATGAAGCCCAGCAGGCCCGTCCTGGTGAAAGGCCTGTCAAAGACGGGTGACCCTCCTGCGGTGACTGGAACTGTCTGCACAGAGTGGAAAGGGGCACAATCAGGCTGTGGACAACCAACTAACTGGCCAAAAAGACCCAGCAGGTGGCAGGAGACTCAGTACCACGTGCATGCCTGCCACGCCTGCCAACCAGGGGAAAAAAGAGGCTGGTACTGCATAGGCCCAGTTTCCGTGGCCTGGCTACTCCATCTCCTGGGCAGGCCTCCTGAGGCAGGACACAAGCATGCCTTTTACCTCTGCTCTGGATGTGTGGCCTCCCCTGGCCTCAGTAGACTTGTCCTGAACAACTCACATTACAACAATGCAAATGTGGCAGAGGGCTGGTTTCCCTGGGGCCAGAGTGAGTGCCTTCCTATCGGCCACCAGGCAGCACCCACATGCCCTTCTCCCATGCAGGACCGTGGGAAGCACACTGACTCCCAGCTTCTCACAGCATGTCTGGTCCTGGTCCCGGCCCCACCCTCACTCTGGGAGGACACACAGAGGTGTGTAGGCCATGTGCCAACAGCCCTAGGAGGGCCTGTGTGGAGGGAGACCATCCCCAACACCACTGCAATCCCCCAGCACCCCGCACACCTGGGGCCCCCTGAGTGGTCACAGAACTTAACTTAAACAGGAAAGTCAGGAAAAGGGACAAACCTCAAACACATTCTTCGTGATTCCAAGCAATCCATAGTAGGCTGTGCCAGTTGCGCTGGAATTGACGCATATTTCTCCCACTTCATCAGTTTTACAAAGATAAGGGGTACCTTCTAACTTCACAACACATACATTAGCTAAAATGAGAAAAAAAACCTCAAAATAATAAAGGATATGTTTAAATGGATCATTCACAAAGATCTCCTTGCTGCTGTTTGTGCAGTAATGGAAACAGGATGTTATACACACAGCATCTTCTTATAAGGAGTTTTATGATACACACGCTACCCAGTTGTCTTACACTGCATATGTAGTATTCTTATAACCACTGTAAGGTGACTAGAAAGTACAACACATCCTTCATATAATAAGCCCCGGCTGACAAAATATGTCCTCTATGATAAACAAACCCTGTGCTGCCTCCTATCCCATTGTCCTCTTGGGGCCATGTGGGGTGCTCCTGACTATCACCACCACACCGGCTCCTACACCACAGCCTGACAGAACTCTGCCCCATGCCTGCTCCCTTTCTAGTAACTTTATTTTAAACGCTGATCTGCCATGTGACTCCAGACTAATCTAAGTCCAGGAGTGCCTCTAAGATGTCTTCATGGAGAAGCATCTATTCATCTTAAGTTTTGCCTAACCTCCAAAACAACCCTTGATGCTGCTGTAAATGCCATAAGCTACAAGGCCCAGAGCACTCCCTCGGCCATGTGTACGTTCCTTCCAGAGCACAGATGTTTTTCCCCAAGACATAGGCCCTGGGTCTGGAGGGTTGCAGCGCAGAGATCTGCCTGTCTTGCAGCGATTCAAGACCATGATTTCATCGGTAAGTTCCCCAATAGATCGCCCTTTACTGATAAACTGGATCTGTCTGCCTCCTTCTTCAGTTTCTCAGCTCTTTCTGCTTTGGGGGCCCAATCTGCACATATGCTCCTTTTCACGGAGCCTGATGGTGCAGGCCTCAGCGTGACTCCTCCCACAGCCCCATCATCATAAAAGACTTAGCAGAGAGAATGCAGCCGTGCTTGGCTGATATGGAAGGTGGTGCTTGTCTGCACTTCAGGCAACCATCCAGGCAGCCGTCAGTGCCACATAACACTCACAGGCACACGCAGAGATGGGGCAAGGTCACAAAAAGACACAAAGCACTACGTATACCCTTGATGCCGTAGTGAACACAAACACCGCAGGCTTACACAGGGCAGACTGAAAAACTGCTGAAGACAAATCACCCGTCGGATTCACCATGTGGCTCAGTCCCACAACAAGGGGCATAGCCAGGGGGCTGTGAAGCATCATGGGAAACAGGTCCGCCTGGGAGAGCGCTGTGCATACACCTAGAGAGCACTACACATGCATGTCATGTCCTAATCCACATTTTACAAATAAAATGCTCACAACTACAGATGTTCCTTCGATTCATTCAGAATCATGACCTCAACATGATTTTCCAGTAAAGTTTAAACAGCTACCTATATTTTCCCCATCACATAAATAAGTGAGACCCCAATGATTGATGTATGTGAAAATGTTTTGGCCACAGGTTCAAGCACTGTACAAGACGGACAGGTCCATTTCCAAGTAGAAATACAGGAAGAAAAGGATGTCATTCATATGAATAAAAAGTAGAGCTAGAAACACAAGTTGAAATCCTCCAGTCTTCAGTGAGGACCCAGTGTCTGTGTACACACAGGGATCAGGCACCACCTGGCCCCGAGCTCCAGGTTAGGGATGGCTGAGCTGCCAGCACCACCCACAGGGTCTGCACCTGAGCAGCACAGCCACCTGCAGAAGGCAGAGCTGCGGGCACAAGGGCCAGAATGCTGAGAAGCACGCGGTGCCTGCAATCCCTAACACAGTCAGGGCCTCACAGGAAAGGCGGAGACTGCACTGAGAGATGGGGCCTGCCTCTAGAAGTCACCAAAAGGGGCCAAGACAGCTGCCCATGAACCCCAAAAGAGCCTGAGGCAGGAAAATTGAAGTAGCTGTGGGGTGGCTACAAGCAGGGCAGCCTCAGACCATGTGACAGTGACCCTACTTGGCTGTCACCAGCGCCTCCCAGGCCAGGTTCTGCCTCAGGCTGGCAAGGAAAACCTCCAACATGTAACATGACAGTCAGGCCCACAGAGCTGACTTCTGCACAAGAGATCACATAGGCCTTTCTGACACCTAAGAATTTCTGGGAAGCTTCCATGAGGCTTCAACCATAACACATGGTTGCTTCAACTTATTTAGATAACCTAATTGTCAAGTTATTCATAAACATTACCATATTCCTCAGAGTTGCCCACTTCACATGGTTGCTGTGGGGTTAAGTGCTTCAACACATGTGAAGTATAAAACCTGTGACTGGAATGCAGTGAGCTATTGTCACCATCTCCCCAAACATCAGAGAACTGTAAGCGAGCTGCACAGCCCACATACACATCTTTGTATTTTAGCTCATCTTTAAACTTAACACAAAGACAGGGAAAAAACTGAGCAAATATTTGACAAACTAAAATTCCAATTTACCTTGAAAACCTTCTTGAGAATCGTTTTACTTGCATGCTTGCTTCTAGAGCACTACGACGAAGCCTGGAACATTTATAACCCTTTTTGTTACATCAATCAGTCGCGGACAAAGACCCACTCTGGTTAAGTCCCTTACCTCCAGGCATCACCTGACCAACGTCCTGAACAGTAAGGACTGACAACTTTTCTTCAGTATCCACTCTGATAACACCGTAACTTAGACCATTCATCGACAGAACCGCTTTTCTTGGAGGTGGTCCTCCCAGATCAGGTGGCCTAGAAAACAAAACCACAACGGAGTTAATTGATGAGGGGGATAAAATTCCAGGGAGGTGAGCCCACCTTGCCTGCAGCATGATTCTGCACCAAAGCCACTGCTCCATGCTACAGACTTGTGAGAAACACATGTTCTAAAGATGCTGCAATGTCTCCACACCACATGTCCCTCTGCAATGTGACCTTGACACGCCATTCAGTGGGAGAAGGGCCTGTGACTACAGTAGGGGTGATGCTATGTGACTTCCAGTGCAGGCCATAAATGTCAATTCGGCTTCTACCTGGTTGTGCTGGGACACTCGCCTGGAGCCCTGGGAAGCCAGGCAAACAGAATGACTGTGTTGAGGCCACTGCCCTGCAAGGAAGCCCAGAGCAGCCCACTCTGAGAGGCCAGGTGGGGGCCCAGAGATGGTCTCAGCCCCTCACGGCTCCTGTCCAAACACCATCTCCTGCAAGCCAAAAGCACCTGGCAGAGGCTTTCCCAAACTCCTGGCCCACAGAAAGCCTGAGGGATAATAAAATGACTGTTGTTGTTTGTGATACAACAATAGTAACTGAACACTAAGCAACAAAGGTTAGTGTTTCCTCCAATAAGAAAAAAATTAAACCGTTGCGCAAAACAAATCATCATAGAACAAAAGAATGAAGAACAATTTATAGTTTGTAGATGACAATAGTGTTTTTTAATGTTAAGTGTTTAAAAAGTTAGGGTTACTTTTAGAAACTTGGGGTTACTTACATAAATGGAAACACACACAATTTATGAATATGTGACTATAATACAAGACCACAACTGAGGCTAAGACACCCTCAGCTGTGAGTACACTGCATTCTACCCCCAGGATGGAACTGGGGTTGGAGTGGTAAGAAGAGGGGAAAGGAAACCTCCGGAGCAGGGTGAGGAGCACAGGAAGGGCCAGCAGCCCCGCACCCACACACAAGGATGCTCAGGACAGTCTGTAGGCCCAACATGCCCTCCAGGCTGAGAGAGGTGACATGAGGAGAACAGCCACGAGGGCAGCATGGGCCTCCCAGGAGGTGGGTGGCTGGATGCTAAGCACCAGGCTGGGCGCGTCTCCAGGCAGGTCAATGGTTCCCACAGACTCCATGGCTGACAGGCATCTGCCTCTGAGTAAGGACCAGTTCCTAGGTTGTAATGATTACTACGGCTACAGATGAGATGACAAGGCCTTTCTAATTTGGCAAGCACTTCAGAAAAATCACAAGCCGGCATTCGGCAAGAATCCAGAATATGGCCCAGGAAGCTGCTACTCAATTCCCTATGCAAGCCCAAGCTGGCAAAAAGCAGCAGGCCAGGCACCAAGGTGCTGCTGCACAAATGGGCCTGGATCCTAACAGGCACAGCTCCAGAATAACTCTGTTGTACACGGAAGACTCAACTCAGTGCTCACAAGACACAAGCAAGGAATGAGGTTACCTGCGGATGGCGACAGTGAGCGCCTCAGGAGAACTGGCACAAGGACAGATGACCTCTGGCCTCAGACCTCTGGACTGGAAGACGTTGAGGAAGGCGTCACAGGAGGAGATTGACCCTGCACGGAGCAACAAGGTGGAATGCCAGCACTAACTGGGGGCCAGCAGGGAAAGGGTAACAGCTGGCCACTGACACACAGGAGCACATGCTCTTGGGAGTACACCAGGCAATAGCTGGTGGCTGTACAAGCTCAAGTCAGCATAGCCTGCAGCCATCGGGACCCAGGGCTGCGTCAGCAGAAGGAAGGGGCCCTTTCAAGGCATCCTCAGACTTCACGATCTTCAAGGGAGATGGTGTCTTTAAAGAAAACCAGGCAGCCATGGACGGTTTGGTGCTATAAAGGGCAAAAAGGGCATCACTAGGGACAGGAAGGCGCCGTATATGGTGGCTGACAAGCCGCACGGCACTGCAAGTATCAGGCACAGCGACTGGGGAGTGCCACGGGAGGAGGCACTGGAGGGGTGGGGCACGCTGATTCCACCATGTGGACCACAGAGAGGCAGTGGGCGTGGGGTGGAGACAAAGAGACCTGAGCAGCGCTGCAGAACCCAGAAGCAGGCCCTGCCTGTCTCAGGTGTGGACCTGAGAATGAGAGGCTCTGGGCATGCTGAAAGGTGGGGTGCTCTCCCAAGAGATGGGGGATACCAGGGGTTCCATCTCTTGTGCTACACTGGAGAGGGGATAAGACGAAATGTCAGCTTCTGACCCAGGGTAGTCTCCAATGCCTAGACAGTGATGCAAGTTAACAATCAAGAAAAGCCCCAATATCTGGTCAACAGGTGCGTGCTAGAACAGGAGCCCCTGTGTGACCAGCATTACCTGAGGTTTCCCCAGAGGAAGTACCGAGTCCGACCCTGGACAGTCTGCGCCCCAGAGCTCACATGTGTGCAGCTCTGACAAAAGCAATTATCACTCAGACCACCGTACACAGGAAGTCCGAGGTGCTCAGGCAGCAGCCACAGGGAGTTCCTCCTGGGAGGATCTGGGGGCGACCCAGGCAAACCAGAAGGAACAGTCATTGGGTCCTGGTGGGAGAAGTTAAGCCAGAAACCAGCGAGGTGGGGGCACCAGGACAAAGGGCAGGAGGCTGGGGATGAGGTCCGAAGAGAAAAAGGAACCCCCAGGCCACGGCATAATCTGGTAATTACTTAAGAAAGATGACTCTCATTAAGGCATGTACCTTTCATCAACTGTATTAAAACTGCTTTTAAATCTAGTGGCCTAATAAACATGCATGAGATAAGCCAGTGAATCACCAAGATGTTCCATGTCATAGAAATGATGTGTAAACAGCTCAGTTTTGCTTCTCAGTGTATTCTACTTTGGTTTGCAGGAGGGGACACTGTGTGGGCTATGCCTCAGGCGCAAAGGCTCACTTACACGGGTTGGCACCATCTGCCACAATCAGCATTCGCAGTGAGCTGAGGCTGACATCCCTCTGGCCTCGCTGAGCTAGGAGAGACCAGTGCATGTCTCGTGACTTCACCAGCGCGGCCCGAGCTGCAGAGAGAGGATGGCACAGACATCCCTCCGTCACGAGGACTGGCACCCTCACACACCTACACACACGTGCACCTCATCCCACACAGAGGTGCACACACACAAAGAGACTCAACACTTAGCTCCCAGGTTACAAGCTCTCTGCAACCGTCTCTCATATGCAATCTAACTAACCCTCAACACTTTTTCCACAAAAATCAACTCTGAGGTACAATTTAGACATCAAAAACTCAGATCCATTTCCAACATTAATCTTTTCTTAGAAGCTCCATACTGCTCTTTTCCTATCTGCCTGCTTCGTCTCACGTTGTCCCTCCCCGAACCCCTGGTACTGGCTAGTCGAGAGGTGTGAGGACCCCAGGAGCTGAACAGAGGGTCTCAGGCCTCAATCTGGGCCCTGCACTGGCTAGCATGTGGCACCCAGCAAATACCCCCACCCCACCCAAGCTTCAGCTTTCCTCCATAAAGTGGGACAGACAGAGAGAGCTGACCCTCCCTGCTGCTCTGAGACATGCCTAGAGGGGCACAGCCCAGCAGGAAGAACAAGGCAACATGGTGTCCCAGGTGAGCCAGTGCCTCAGTAGCTGGTAAAGGTGCCACTGAGCTCCACAGGGCAGAACACAGACTGCCGACTGTGCAGGTATGGCCATGCTGGGGCTTCCTGCTTGGTCCCAGGAGGCACCTCAACCACTGAGAAAAGTGAGACCCCCACCTCACCAAGTGGCGCTGTCTTACTACATCACCCATGAAACCCTGAGGGCCATGCCCGAGGCAGAGAAAACCCCCATTCTCTTGGGCAGGGGTATGACCAAGAAAGACGTCCCATGGCTCCTCAGCCTACATCTGCAGTTCCACGTCAGCTTTATTTATTTTTAATCACCAAAGATCAGTTCAAAGAGCTTTTCCTAAAGAACGGTGAGTGCCGTGACCAGGATATCCATTACCTTTATAGTAGCATACTTTCTGGATCCAGGAGAGCGGGTTGGCCTTCATCAGTGCGTAGGGGACACTGACCACGTGCATCCTGTTCATGACGCTCTGTGGGGGAGCAGACACGCTCAGGGCAAGCAGGCCCGAGCCACACCAGAAAAAGAAAAACAAAACCAACATACTCTCCCAACAACATTTCAGGCAGAGGCTCGGGTTCATCTAAATCCCTTGTTCCAACAATTAGTCATCAGCAAACAACACTCACTGTTAACACTCCATGCCACAGACCAGCATCCCTTTTGAAATCCAGCACATTTGTTAATGTTTCAGCTGAAAGTGGACAAAGAAGGTTAAACTACTGATCAACCTCTGAACAGGCCCTATGCATTTTCTAGAGAAATTCTGAGGTGAGTACCTCATCAACATGTTAAGTTTCAGGGAACAGATACAGCATTTCCAAATACTGTGTACCAATTAATAATAATCCTGGTTAGCTATTCAAATGACTGGAAACACGTAAGAGTAGAAGGTCATGCAACTAATGCAGAGAACCATGCTGAGCACTAATCGGAAGGCAAAGGAACATCATATACTGAAGAAGCTGTAAAAGGTGTTACCACATCTTTTCTTTTCTTTTTTGAGACCGAGTCTTGCTCTGTCAACCAGCCCGGAGTGCAGTGGTGGGATCTCAGCTCACTGTAACCTCTGCCTCCCAGGTTCACACAATTCTCCTGTCTCAGCCTCCCGAATAGCTGGGACTACAGGCATGCGCCACCACACCCAGCTAATTTTTCTATCTTTGGTAGAGACAGGATTTCGCCATGTTGGCCAGGATGGTCTCAAACTCCTACCTTGGTGATCTGCCTACCTCAGCCTCCCAAAGTGCTGGGATTACAGGCATAAGTCACCACACCTGGCCACACCACATCTTTTCATCACATGTTTTGAGTGGATATTTTCAGAATGAAGAGGTGGGGATGAAAAACTGTCAGGGATATTCTTACTTCTCAACTCTACACCGGATCTCCTCAATTCTCACACCTAGAGGCTGTGATCCAGCATCTCCCCTCTATCTCATTGAGCTGGTGGTTCACATCACCCTTCAGAAAGTCACTCTTCCTTTGCCTGTTTTCTCATCCAGAGGTGTGCAGCTAACACATTTTAGGGAGCTCCCGGCCAAGTCCTCTCTAGGACCTGGCTCGTACTTCACAGGCAGAAAGGACAGAGGCTGGGGCTGGGCAGACCTGGCTTCTCGCCAAAGGCCACAGCACTCCAAAGGCAAACAGGAGAAGTTTGACTTGTGTGCCAGGAAATGCTGTTGCATCATGAACAACAGTACTGTAAATACCCTTTCTCTATTGGCTAAAGAACACAAATTATTACTATTATTTTTAGAGACGGGGTCTTATCACGTTGCCAGGCTGCAATGCAGTGGCTATTCATAGGCACAACCCCACTACTGATTGGCATGGAAGTTTTGACCTGCTCCCTTTCCGACTTGGGTCGGTTCACCCCTCCTTAGCAAGCTGATGGTTCCCCACTCCTAGAAGGTCACCATGTTGCTGCCAAAATTAGTGCAGATACCCGGCTGGCATAGCGCACTACAGCCCAGAATTCCCGGGCTCAGGTGGTCTTCTTACCTCAGCCTACCGAGTAGCTGGGACTGTAGGCACACACCACCACACCTGGCTAAAGAACCCAAATTATAGGTGACATACGTAAGATTAGCTCTGGACTGAGGACAAAGAAACTCAAGGGTCTTGATTTGAAAGATCTAACTTTTTGAATTTAATAAAGTCCTTTAAAAATACCTAAAATCATTTTCCAAATCTCCAGTAAAAGCTTTAGCTGTGCCCTCAACCTAACCCTTGCTTCTTAACACTTCTTTCTTTTTTAAATTTTATTTAAAATTTCTCTTTTTTTGTAGAGATGGGGTCTCATTATGTTGTCCAGGCTGGTCTGAAACTCTTGACCTCAAGTGTTCCTCCTACCAAAGTGGTGGGATTACTGGTGTGAGCCACCGCACCTGGCCTTAAACACCTATATTTTAGATATTTAAACATACCATTAAATTCCACTTTCTAGTGTTGTTCAATTCCAGTATTACAATGTAAGAAAACTGCTATGCATCCATTTTTATAGTTTTTAAAATTACTTGTCAGAGTGTACCCCATAAATATATACAATTAGTACTTATCAGTTAAATATTAATTTTAAAGTATTTCCCTAAGTATCTGACATTTGAAGTAAATCAGGTGCCAACTATACTTTACCAAGAGATCATCTATAACCATATTCTACTTACATATTTACATGCATGACGATTTAGGTCAAAACTACAGTCATAGATACAGTAATAGAAAAATAAGAGTGTTTTCCTCTTTTTGAATGAAAAATGCCCTGACCCTCAGTATGTCACAAAGTAAGCCAGACCCCTAGGGCTGGCCTGTGAACCCAGTACTGTGTATAAGTGAATCAGTGGGATATAGGTTTCATGTTCCATAAAACCAACATCCATGTGCATTTACTGAAAACAACCCTGAATGGGGTTGCCTGGACTCTGATAAGAGACGCTGTATGCCCTCTTGGCCAGTATAGAGATCCCACAAGCATGCTAAAGATGGTGCATCTCCCTACCTGGCATGACCTGGATTAATGGGCAAAGGCATTACCCAGGGGTGGTTTTGACAGGTGCAGCAACAGTCACATGATTCGGTACGTCAAGTATCTGTGTGAGGCTGGAGGGGCCACCACCCCACCCCAAGTGCCCTTACCTTCTGAGTACCCGCATGCTTGGGTCAGAGCCTGGCACTGTGCCAGCAGGGATGCATGGGACACAGTGACGCCCACTGTACTGCCTTCTTTGCTGGTTTTATACTGAAAGATGCCAAGGGAAAAAACATTATATGTTATTTCTAGAGCTGACAACAGACAGAATGGAGACTGACAGAATCTTCAAAGGAAGAACTGGTCAGTGTCTCTCTGCTAACCATCCCATGAGGCCCAGGTGCATGGCAAGCCCTGGCCACTGAGGGGATGCTTCAGTTGAACTCATGGCTCCTCCTGGGCAGGTACCCGAGGGCAATGCTGTGACATGGACTCCATCACTACTGTCTCCATCCCCAGGGGGCAAGTTAGGAGAGAATTAGGTAAGAGAGAAACCTGGAAGGATCTGAGCAAGGATCTATATGACACTCCAGATTTCTGAGGCAGAGATAAAACAAGAACTGTTAGGCCAAAATTTAAAATATATATATATGGCAACTTAAATTCTTATGAAAAGCAAGACTTAAGCCTGTGGGGCATGTTTTTACATGCTCTGAGTTAGGAACGGTCATTACCTCAATGTAGGCAGTCCCAGTCCCTGTGTCCTGGGCCAGAGGGTGCCAGTCCTTGGGGGGCTTGGCTAGATGCTTCCCATCAATCACCAGCCAGGAAAGGGGAGGCCATCCTGGGACACACAGACAGGAGACAGAACAGCGAGCAGTCAAAGATGCCTCTACTCCCCACACTGGAAGCCTGCGCCTCTGACATGCAACACTGGCTTGCAGCATGCAGCACTTGCGACTAAGGAGTGCAAGTTTTAGTCTCGTTTCATTTTATTTAATTTAAAAAGGTACATCTGGCCAGTGGCTACCATATCAGACAGTACAGGTCGAGACACTAAGCCAGGTGAAAACCGAGATTCACAAGGCCCTGAACAAGCAATCATTTTTGCTGAAGACTCAGCCACCTCCGTCATGTTTAATTTCTGGAACAGCGTGCCTGGAGACAGTTTAACATAGACCACAATCAGAACACTGACTCCCCTTCCCTAGGCAGTCCTCACCTTTGAAAGCTGCCACCTCTCCCGTCTGTGCCTTGGGGAGGCCTTTCTGACAAGCGTCTGTGGTCAGGGCCAAGGAGACCCCACAGCTGCCCAGCAGAAACCCAACCTGCTGGCTGCCTGCATCCTGCAAAAAGCAGAGTGACAGTGTGGAAATGGGGTGCTCAGAGCAGCCCCAGCCCCACACCCTCGGTGTTCCAGGTCATGCACAAAGAACAGATCTTTCGTGCATCCCTCATAAAACTTGCAGAACAATTCAGTCCTATTATTGATATATTTGATCTTTTCATAGAAATCGTTCATGAAAATGTGACAACTATGTTTAAATGTAAAAGATAATTTTGGTTTGTTTTTGTGGTAAAATATAAAATATGATGGGCTAATTTCTCAAAGTTTATTCTTACAAATGACATTTAGAAGCATTTTAATAAACTCCAAAATTAATGGCACTGAAATTTCTATTGGATCATGTTTGAAATTTGCAAATTAACCTGGATAGGCCTGGTCATTAACAATATTAATTATTTCCACACAGAAACACGTTTCCTTGTAGCCAAGTCTTCTGTGTTCCTCAGCAAAATTTTGTCATTTTCTTCATATATACTTGACAAATCTCTAGTTTTACTCCTAAGAATCACTGCATTCAAATACCTGCTCATCATATATTATCCTTTGCGATACACTAGTTTTATTTGCAAATTTTACTTTTGGGATTCTTGACTATTTGTGAATAATGCTCATGTTAACAACTGCCTGAATTCTGGGACAGGATGACAGAACACTCTAAAATACATGCCTTGTCTACTTCTAAATGACTTTTTAGTAAACAGATTACTGATATTTACATCCAAAATGTTATAGCCACCTAGACAGCAACCAAAACTGCTCACTGTCATGAACAGAAACGCACGAATTTCCGTCTTGTTTATTTAAAACTGCCTCTGAGAAGTGAGCTATCTCACTGTAATGATATATTTATACCTGAGAAATAATAATTGTTTTCTATAAACATATGGTTTTGAGGAAAAGTTTAATAAAATCTTATTGAATCATAATTCTATTCATTAAAGGAAAAAATGGCTATCATTTCTGTTGGGAAATTCACACAGGTGATAGAACAGCTCCACCTAATAAAAGTGTGGTGTGGGAGCGTCACCAGCAAAACTGTTCTCAGTGCCTCTCTCACCAGCAAGAAGAAAGTCAGATAAAACGGCATCTGGTCCGGGTGTGGTGGTTCATGCCTGTAATCTCAACACTTTGGGAGGCTGAGGCGGGCAGATCACGAGATCAAGACCTCGAGACCATCTTGGCCAACATGGTGAAACCCCGTCTCTACTAAAAATATAAAACCTAGCTGGGCATGGTGGCCTGTACCTGTAGTCCCAGCTACTTGGGAGGCTGAGGCAGGAGAATTGCTTGAACCCAGGAGGCAGACGTTGCAGTGAGCCAAGATCGCGCCACTGCACTCCAGCCTGGCGCCTGGCGACAGAGCAAGACTCTGTCTCAAAAAAAAACAAAAAACAAAAAACGGCATCTGATTTCTCTTGAGTCTTGGCCAGCCTGTCAACTACTAGCTTCCTCTCCTCTGTCAAAACAGCTGCTTGCTGCCTGCCCACACTCAGCGAAAACGATGCAAGATACCACTGGTTGTGTCGAGACTCAAGTTCAGAACTGAACCAGGTGGGACCTCAGCCATGGGTTTATTACCTTTCTCGTTAATGGCACTTCTATGGGGACAGGAACCAGCTCTGCCAGGAGACACCCATAAAACGCAACCATGAACATCACGGGGTCACTATTGGGAAACACGAGCGCCACCTACAACAGTACAAAGAAATGAAGTTAGCTTTCTCACATTCCTCCCCCTTTCCCTTCTCCCATCATCCAAATTTCCAATTTTTACAATATCTAGCTAAATTAAAAGCTAGTTACAAAATAAAATTTTGTTAGCCCCAAATATTGTAATAATTGTGCTTGAAACCATTAAGGGACAAGTCCAAATAGTATTTAACTGAGTAGAGACTGTTAACTCAGGGCCCTTGAGAACATACAGTGATGAACAACCAGTAAGACCCTTCACTTTGTAAAACAAAATGTAAGCTGTATCTATACTTATTCTGTACTTGAAGTCTGGGAATTTAGTTTCTAACAAGGTTGTTTGTTGAAAAGGGCAAGGTTTTCCTTCGAAATTTGGTTTTAATAGTGGTTGCCCAGAACTGTAACCTATAACCTTGAGACTAGATGTTTGGAATGAAATGTATATTTTTATAGAATTTGTTATGAAAAGCTGTGTTCACTTTTACAAAGTATAATATTATAGGAGGCTGAATTTGCCACCAATTTCTTCAACTCTATCCCTGTGACCTTGTCAATTTTATTATTATTTACCTAACCACAGAGATTCTCTTCCAAGTCAAGAAAGTATCTGAAAGTCTTTATCCTTGTAAGAATTTTTTTCGGCCGGGTGCAGTGGCTCACGCCTATAATCCCAGCACTTTGGGAGGCCGAGGCGGGTGGATCACGAGGTCAACATGGTGAAACCCCGTCTCTACTAAAAATACAAAAATTGGCTGGGCATGGTGGCACACGCCTGTAGTCCCAGCTACTCTGGAGGCTGAGGCAGGAGAATTGCTTGAAACCAGGAGGCGGAGGTTGTGGTGAGCCGAGATCGAGCCATTGCACTCCAGCCTGGGTAACAAGAGCGAAACTCTGTCTCAAAAAAAAAGAATTCTTTTCAAGAAAATTAAATCAGTGATTCCTAAATTCATTCTAAAGCGTAACATAAAGTCTCATCTATGAGCACAATATATCATAAAGTATCATTTTTTTAGTAACATTCTTAAACTGTTTACATTTTTATAGCCAAGTACACATTTCCTTTCTTTTCTGGTAACAGCCACCACCATTTCTACTTTATTCGTTTTCTTGTGTATTCTCTAACTAATTTGTTTTAAAATACTCCCTCAGATGGGTCAAATACCCACCAGTATCATTTTCCAAATAACCACCCACTCAGGGGAGCAATGAGCGTCCCCTGCTGCTGACGACTCCACCCCATCCTGGGGTCTCGGTTCTCCTGATGTTGACTGTGCCACCCTGTGGCCTGCTGCCAGTGATCACCCTGGGCATCTACTGTGGTCCTCCTGCTTACACTCTACTTGCTTACATGGCTGAGGGACATCTTCTAAGAGCTAGCCAAGAAAGTGCTTGTGAGCCAAATATTTCTGAGTCCTGCATGTCTGAAATGGCTATACCATTCTCAAATCTGTTGAATCTCTGGGAATAGAATTATAAGTTAAAAATTATATTGCCTCTGAATTTCTGAAGCATCAATCCACTCTCTTCCAGTTTTACCAATGAGAAATCCCAAAGCCAGTGTGCCTGTCAATCCTACTTTTCCCTTCAAAGCTCTGGGGTTCTTTTCTGTACCCTGGTATTATGCAGTACCATGGGCATGTGTTTTCGTGTGCATCCTTGAACATTTACACTCTCCAGGTCTGGGATATTGTCCTGAATTACTATTTTCATTTAAAATGTTCTATTTTCTGTTCTCCTTTCTCTTTCTGGGCTCGTTATCAGTCAGATGTTGGGTCTTCCTGATTGAATCTTTTTGTCCTATTTTACCCTACTTTCTGTCTCTCAGTCTTTCCTACTGACATCCTTTTCTTGATTTATGAAACATCTTCATCTCAGATTTCCAGGAATATTAATATTCACTTTTTAGAAATGCTGTTTTCTATATCTAGCTTTCCTTCAAGTTTGTTTCCTCTTTTCTCCCTTCCTTTCCCTGTCTCTCTCTTTCTCACTCCCTTTCTTCCTTTCCCTTTTGGTATTTTCTCTCATATTGGCATTTCCTTCTTTTTTTTGAGACGGAGTTTCGCTGTTGTTGCCCAGACTGGAGTGCAATGGCACGATCTCGGCTCACCGCAACCTCCGCCTCCTGGGTTCAAGCAATTCTCCTGCCTCAGCCTCCCGAGTAGCTGGGACTACAGGCACGCACCATCGTGCCCAGCTAATTTTTGTATTTTTAGTAGAGACGAGGTTTCACCTTGTTGACCAGGATGGTCTCGATCTCTTGACCTCATGATCCACCCGCCTTGGCCTCCCAAAGTACTGGGATTACAGGCTTGAGCCACCGCGCCCGGCCTGGCATTTCCTTCTTAAAAGTCCTTGGCTAATAGTTCATATTTAGAAGTTCGGTACTGAAAGAGTTACTTGGAACTGTCTGCCAGCTTGCTAACCTACAGTTTCCATGTTGGATGATCTGACACAGGTGACCTTCTCACCAGGGGATCTCACTGATATGCTCATTTTCACGTTCTCTTGTTTTCCACCCTGGACTTTATAGTATACCAGGGGTCCTCAGGTCTGGTCCATCTTGCCTACAGCAGTACTGTCCAAAAAACATTCTGAGATAATGGAAATGTTTTATCTCCAAGCTATCAAAACAGTAGATACTAGCCACACTCCTATTAAGCCCTTAAAATGTTGCTTGTGCAACTAAGAAACTAAATTTTTTATTTTGTTTAATTTTGGTTAATTTAAATAGCCCCACATAGCTACTGCCAACCATATAGGGCAGTGTAGCACCAGAGAAGAAGCCTCTAGCACCCTATTTTGACAGACAGGTACAAGGAGGCTACCTGGACACATAGAATAGGGAAGGAGATAAATATAATGCATATAGAATTTCACAGCAGGGTTTCAGACCTTTAGCTTTTAATTCATAAGATCTAAGCTCTGGAATCTAATATTTTTAATATCAACATATATGAAGTCAAACAGAAGAGAAGATGAAGAAACAGAGGACAATGAGTACAGAAAAAGAATATTGCGTTACTCTCTATCACAAACTTTGTCATATTTAATATTCTTCACTGCTGAATTTTTGTTTTTTTGAGATGGAGTATCATGCTGTCACCTCGGGGTTCAAGCGATTCTCGTGTCTCAGCCTCCCGAGTAGCTGGGATTACAGGCACATACCACCATGCCCAGTTGATTTTTTGTATTTTTAGTAGAGACAGGGTTTTACCATGTTGCCCAGGATGGTCTCAAACTCCTGAGCTCAGGCAATCCATCCGCCTCGGCCTCCCAAAGTGCTAGGGTTACAGGCGAGAGCCACCACGCCCAGCCTTCACTGTTGATTTTAAATCCCTTGTATTAATGCTGTAATTCTAACCAAATGATAGAACACTAATTTCAATGAAACAGATTATTTAAGTCTCTGCTTTTGCTCATTCCAACAAAGTGACATTCTAGTTACTTACTCTATCTCCAGGTTTAAGTAGAGGTTCATTCTTATTAGTCAGTTTATTAAGTAGAGTATAAGCTAGTTTTAAACACCGACTCCAAAGTTTACCTAAAACAAAATAAAAATACCAAGCAATGTAAAATTTGAAAAACAATTAACATTTTAATGTAGAAATCAAAATACCCCATAACATACCATTACCCCATTAGTGGAAATTTAAGTAGCTTCCAACTAGTAACTATTCTGCACAATGCTGTAATGAACATGATTGCTTTCTCTTAAAATTAACTTACAGATTTATTTTTCTTAATACAAAAACAAAACAGGATTTTATTATAGAAAATTTGGATTACAGAAAAGCCAGCAGAGGCCTGGCTCAGTGACTCACGCTTGTAATCCCAGCACTTTGGGAGGCCAAGGCGGGCAGATCACTTGAGGCCAGGAGTTTGAGACCAGCCTGGCCAACATGGTGAAATCCCATCTCTGCTAAAAATACAAAAAAATTAGCCCAGTGTGGTGGTGTATGCCTGTAATCCCAACTATACTCAAGAGGCTGGGACACAAGAATCACTTGAACCTGGGAGGGGGAGGTTGCAGTGAGAGCCCGCCTGGGCAACAGGAGACACTATTTGGAAAAAAAAAAAAAAAAAGCCAGCACAAAGTATTTTGTACGTATGCATATATGTAACACAACTATACACATATATACATGTATACATGTCTCTATGATTTTTTTTTCTCTTTTTTGGGATGGAGTCTCGCTCTTATTGCACAGGCTGGAGTGTAATGGTGCAATCTCGTCTCACTGCAACCTCTGCCTCCCAGGTTCGAGTGATTCTCCTGCCTCAGCCTCCTGAGTAGCTGGGATTATGGATGCTCACTACCACGCCCGGCTAATTTTTTGTATTTTTAGTAGAGAGAGGTTTCACTATGTTGGTCAGGCTAGTCATGAACTCCTGACCTCAGGCGATCCACCCGCCTTGGCCTCCCAAAGTGCTGGGAGTACAGGCATGAGCCACCGTGCCCAGCCATCTCTATAATTTTCAAGAAATGAGATCATACTTCACCCTAGTTTTTCAATTAACACTGCATAGTAAATGGATTTTCATTACATTAAATATCTGACAATTACATCATTTATAAGAGTGACACATAATACATTTAATCTTTACAACAATTCATGAAGTGGGTCATATCTTTATTTTAACATGTTAAATTCCTAATATGTTAAACTTAAGATGTTAAAATACAAAGCAATCCCAAAGAGAAGTTCCCCTGACCAAAAATCAAGAGACAAAATAAATAAGAGCAATGGATCCAAAGGCGATCTGGGTATCAATGCCACCCATTCTTTACTTGGAAAGCCAACGGGACCTCATCAGGCCGCATCATGAATGAACTCCCATTCACAATTGCTACAAAGAAATAAAATACCCAGGAATACAACTAACAAAGGACGTGTAGGACCTCTTCAAGGAGAGCTGCAAACCACTGCTCAAGGAAATAAGAGAGGACACAAACAGATGGAAAAACATCCCATGCTCATGGTTAGGAATAATCAATATCATGAAAATGGCCATACTGTCCAAAGTAATTTACAGATTCAATGCTATCCCCATCAAGCTACCACTGACCTTCTTCCCAGAACTGGAAAAAACAACCTTAAACTTCATATGGAACCAAAAAAGAGCCCACATAGCCAAGACAATCCTAAGCAAAAAGAATAAAGCTGGAGTCATTACACTACCTGACTTCAAACTATACTACAAGGCTACAGTAATCAAAATAGCATGGTACTGGTACCAAAACAGAGATATAGACCAATGAAATAGAACAGAGGTGTCAGAAGTAACGCCACACATCTTCAACCATCTGATCTTTGACAAACCGGACAAAAACAAGCAATGGAGAAAGAATTCCGTTTAACAAATGGTTTTGGGAAAACTGGTTAGCCATGTGCAGAAAGCTGAAGTTGGACCCCTTTCTTACACCTTATACAAAAATTAACTCTAGATGGATTAAAGATTTAAACATAAGACCTAACACTATAAAAACCCTTGAAGAAAACCGAGGCAATACGATTCAGGACAGAGGCATAGGCAAGGACTTCATGACTAAAACACCAAAAGCAATGGCAACAAAAGCCAAAATAGACAAACGAGATCTAATTAAACTTAAGGGCTTCTGTACAGCAAAAGAAACTATTATTAGAGTGAACTGGCAGCCAACAGGATGGGAAAAATATTTTGCAATCTACCCATCTGACAAAGGGCTAACATCCAGAATCTACAAAGAACTTAAATTTATAAGAAAAAAACCAACCCCATCAAAAAGTGGGCAAAGGATATGAACAGACACTTTTCAAAAGAAGGCATTTATGTGGCCAAGAAACATATGAAAAAATGCTCATCATCATGGTCATTAGAGAAATGCAAATCAAAACCACACTGAGATACCATCTCGCACCAGTTAGAAAGATGATCATTAAAAAATCTGTAGATAGATGCTGGAGAGGATGTGGAGAAAGAGGAATGCTTTTACAGTATTGGTGGGTAAATTAGTTCAATCATTGTACAAGACAGTGTGGCGATTCCTCAAGGATCTAGAAATAGAAATACCATTTGACCCAGCAATCCCATTACTGGGTATATACCCAAAGAATTATGAATCATTCTATTATAAAGACACATGCACACGTATGTTCATTGTGGCAGCGTTTACAATACCAAAGACTTGGAACCAACCCAAATGCCCATCAATGACAGACTGGATAAAGAAAATGTGGCACATATACACCATGGAATACTATGCAGCCATAAAAAAGGATGAGTTCATGTCCTTTGCAGGGACATGGATGAAGCTGGAAACCATCATTC